TTAAATAGAAATATTTATTTTGACATCCTATAATATAAACATACATTATTGAAGACCAACGCATAGTCAAAATTGTAATTTTTTAAAGAAGTTGTATTTTAAAAATGATTTTTATGAAAATTCATTTAAAATAATTTTAAAATTAAATAATTTTTTAAAATTTTAATATCTAAATATTTTTTTAATAAAATGATGAAATACTTAAAAGAACATTTTAAGAATAACTATTCAAACTAAATTATTTTTTAAAACTTTTATGAAAAGTTTTTTTTAATTATTTTTTGCACAAAATTATATAACACTGTAAAAATAATTTTTTTTAAAAAGACAAAACAAACTGGTCCATAATTCTCCTACAATAATACTTCATAGATGTCCATAAGAAAATGGTAATTTGTAATGATGAACATAAAGTAGAAAGCATCAAAGATTTTAGATAGAAATCTTTGATTCTTAGCTACAAATGATGAAAATTTGTTCTTAGATTTAAATATCTGATTTTAGTGTGTTTGATAAGAGTTGATCATTATTGAGAAGTTTGTTCATCTCTTGACCTAAATTTTCACTTATCAATAAACAATTTCTAGACATAGTTTTGTGAGTTGATACTCATTAATATTGAACTTTTAAAGTTATCAAATTGATAATTGGGTAGAGAGATCATCTAAGGATCAATTTGATAAAACTCACAATTTATTTTAGAGATGAAACATATTAGATGAAACATAAAGATAAGGTGACATGTTCTCGGATAACTCTCTTTCTTATTAAGAAGTCGGATAGAAAGATTTGCTTGGACTTTAAAGTTATTTCGGGAAAGAGCTTGACTATTCAACATAGAGTATTTGTTATAGATATAAGAGTAACATGGAGAGTAAAGAGAATGAGTCACATGAGAGCGCCACAGATCAAGTGATGGCATTAGAAGGGAGAAAAACAAGAAAGTTTCCAACATAAAATCTTGGAAGGAGAGTTTGGATAACCACAAAGAAGTGCGAATGATACATGGAATGAAAAGTTTTAAGATATTAGAAAAGTGGCTAAAGATATATTGGAATAATCAAGAGGTTGTGCACTTAGGAGTAAAGAATTGTGATGGTGGAATAAAAGTGTTCAGAGTAAAATTAGTGTAAAAATGATTATTTTAAAAAATGGTCTATGTGTAAAAATACCAAAGTTGAGATATTCAAATATGTATGAAGGAGTATCGACTAGCGTGCATAAATAAGGTGGAGAGATAGGTGATTTTCCATTACATTAGCTTTTCATCAAGGTTCAAGCCTAAGTTCCTAACCTTTTTACCTTAATTTTAAATGTACTCACAGAACACATACAAGAGGTAACACTGAGATATATGTTTTTTAAAGATGATATAGTCTTACTTGAAAAGTCGAAAGATAATTTAAATGATAGGTTACATATTTAGAGACGAGTTTTAGAAATGTATGGTTTCTCTAAGTAGAAGTAAGACGAAGTATATGGAATATAAGTTCAACAGAAAAAATGTTTCTAACTTAGAGGTGAAAGTTGGAGACCATATCATCCCTCAAACCATAATGTTTAAATATCTTGGGTATGTAATACTAAATGATGGAGAAATAGAAGGGGATGTAAACCATCGAATTTAAACTGGGTGACTGAAATGGGAAAAATATTTAGGGGTTTTATGTGACGCAAAGGTACCACTCAAATTGAAGGGAAAATTTTACCAGACTGTAGTAAAATTTGTGATGTTGTACGGAAGAGAATGTTAAGCATTTAAAAATCAATACGAAAATAAAATAAGTGTAACAAAAATGAGGATGTTGCATTGGATATGTGGTAAGACTAGAAAGGATAGGATTATAAAGGGTTAAATAAGTTTTTGATCCCTCTAAATATCTCAAATTTCATTTTTAGTCCCTCTAAAATTTTTCTTCAAAGAATGGTTCTCCTAAAAAATTAAATTTTAACTTTTGGTCTCTCCTGCAATTTAGCGACAGTTTTTACTACTTAGTGGTGGTTTTAGCGATGGTTTTTATTTAGCGACGAAATTAGAAACCATTTTAACTACGATTTTGTCGAGGGACCAAAAGTTAGAATTTAATTTTTTATGAGGACCATTCTTTGAAGGAAAAATTTAGAGGGACTAAAAACAAAATTTGAGATATTTAGAGGAACCAAAAACTTATTTAATCCGATTATAAATGAAGTTATTAGAGAGAGTGTTACAGTAACACATATAATAGAGAAGACGGTGGAAAATAAACTTAGATAATTTGAGTATTTAGAGATAAGACATGTAGGCTCTATAATAAGGATAATATATCAGATGGAGAGAATTCAAATAATTTGAGAAAGATGATGATCTAGAAAGAAAAAAGATCTTGAGATTAACAATTTGAATAAAAATATAATCCTGAATAGAAGATTATGATAAAAATTGATACATGAAGCTGATCTTACTTAATAAAACAAGACTTAGTTGTTATTATTGTATTTAAATTATCTCTATCCAATGATTTCTATCCAATGATTTCTATTAATGGTCCTGGGATGGGATCCATGCGTGCATTGACGTTTGAATTATTGTGTTTAGTTGGTGTGCTGGTTGTGTCTCTGTTATAACATGTGTTCTTCCTACTTTATGTGCTTAGTTATCTGATTTATGTGTCATACAAACAGATTGTGACTTTGTATTTGGTTTAGCTCTCTTCTCACACATGTCGTGTTACAAAAGAATTCTTTCATTATTTAGTAGATGTGGAACTAAACACTCTTTAATTAAATCAAACATTATTTTCGTCATTACATTTTATCACCTATTCTATAGATGATTTATTCAATTTAGAAGCAACTTAAATCCGAATTTAAACTTAAGAATGATTATCATAATCGCCCTCTTCATACTCCAACATGTATCCAATAAACTTCAATTTGTCTAGTTTAAAGTGAATGCCAAATTTCTGACAGCAAAGACGTATGGATGGTGACTTAATGAACCTGAAGCTTTTTAGAAAATTTCTTATTATTATATTTTTATGAGTAAAATTTTTTTTCAAATTGGATATACATATCTGAACGAATCTTTAAATCAATTTTAAAGGTGTTTTGGAGATGTATATCCGAAAATTTTTTAAATGTATCCAAATCTATGAAGTACTGCAGATATGTCACATTTATATAGGTTATATTTTTGTCCTACAAAAATCGACGTGCCAACTAAGAATATGAATTAAAACTGCAAAGCACATTCACGGTTAGAGAACTCATTGCCCTCGCTCTCGGAAAATGTTGCCGCATCCAGGTGCTCTCCATATAGATCGCTCAGGAATGAGAACTTGGCATGAGCCCCATTAGTTGAGGAACAATGTTCCTCTACCTTTTTCGGTTGAGCTCCCAAATACTCGACCATTCATTCAATCACTTCATCACGAGTAATCCGGGAGTGGTTAAGTAACCTCCCTCTGATAGGAAGGTGTAGCAGGCATGCGACGTCGTCAAGCGTGATCGTCATCTTTTCAACAGGAAAATGGAAAGATGACGTCTCCTTGTGCCATCTTTCGAAATGTCCCTTGCATGTCGTGGAAAAGAGATGTTGTGTTTCGAAACTTTGTATATATTTAATACGATTCGGATATGTATATACAAACACTCTCTGTACTTAAATTATGGGGTTGATTCAAATATACATATCCGAAACCCTCTAATCTTAACAAAAAAGTTGTTTTTAAACATGCATATCCAAATCAAATCCTCTAAATATATAACATGGTGAGTTCGGATATACATATCTAAATTTGAGGGGTGTTATCGGAATTTCGCTAAAAACCTTTAAAAAGGTATAAAAGTGTACTAAAAAATTCTCAAAATTTTAAGCACACATATCTAATTGATAGGCAAGCTTAAACAGATGCGTCCAACCTCATCATTATAGCGAAACACAAAATTTGTGATAACGACCACTCATTTCTTGTATGCATCAATTTGACAACCCTGGGCCATCGGACCTCGAACCTTCATTCATTTTCCACTGTCTTTGTAAGAATATTTCTATTTTTAAACATTTATAGTTTTGTATCACTTTCACATAACACTTTAGTATGGCAGAAAAGAACATTAGCAAACAGCAACTGTTTAATTTGTAGAAAAGAACATTAGCAAACAGCAACTGTTTAATTTGTAGAAAAGAACCAAACTTGTGCTATAAAGATTGACATGTGATATGGGAAATGACCAAATAAAACACACGCTAAAACAATAAACAACGAAAACACGTGCAAACACACTTTTGAACTTGATTTTTTATATACTTTAATATGTATGCCTATTTTATATACTTCTGAATGCCTGTTTTATATATTTCAAAGGACTATGACAACCTCCTTCAATCTTCAGGAATCAGGACAAGTCCCAAGCGATACAAAGCCAAGTTCCATTCTACCTTCATGTCTACTTCGGAGTTCCCTCGTTCAACTTTTTAACATCAAGCCAAACAATTCAGTTATCACTTATGTAGGACTTTTTAACATCAAGTCAACAATTCAATTATCCCTCAAGTAGGAAGATAACTAATCCTTTAAAGTCACATGCATATGAATAATAAGAATATCATCCAGCAACAACTGAACCACTATATCTGAAATGCATGTCTCAACATATTTGATCACACTGAGGCTGCCCTAGTCAGGAAATTCAAACCATTCAAATGCATGTCTTGAAATATCATCCTTGTATATCAGTTTTAACTGTGTATAACTGCTTCAAGTCCGCAACTGCAGAAAGTCACAGTCCCCAGCCCCCAGCTCCTAACTTCCTTACATTGTTCACAACACTTCAGATTTTCCTTGGCCTTAATATCAAATCGAACAATTAGCTTGAATTTTTATAATCCTGACTTTTAATCTTTAGAGTTAAAGCATATTTGGCATAAAGTGTCACACCTAATAGTTTAACATGATTCCTTCGCCCTGACTCTCAATAAACCCTGCATTGACTCTAGTCTAAGTTGTTTGCTTAAACTAACTTATAGCATCTTCTTCAGAGTTACCCTTTACCTTCATATGTAATGCAATCCTCCTTAAAGCTTCATGAATATCATCTATATTTGGATGTGACGGATCCCCTCCAACAAAACAATGGAGTTTGTTTCCAATCTGCATCCAACTATAAGCTGTTTGTTTCTTAATTCCTTGCTCTTTCATCATAACCCTCACTCTATTGACATCCTTCCACTTGCCAGCAGCAGCATATATATTAGACAACATCACACAAGCACCAGAATTATAAGGATCCAAATTCAAAATGCTCCTAGCAGCCAGTTCCCCCAATTTCACGTTTGAATGGATATTACAGCCCACAAGAAGAGCACCCCAGATGCTGGAATCTGCCTTGAATGGCATCTCTTGGATTAATTCGAAAGCTCTCTTCAATTGACCTGCTCGACTCATAACATCAACTATACAAGAATAGTGTTCAGACCTTGGTTGAATACCATAATTATGCACCATCAAGTAAAAAAGATTCATGGTCTCATCAACCTTCCCAGCACGACAACAGGCAGATAGCAAATTCAGGAAAGTTATGCCATCAGGTGTAACACCAACTGTTACCATATGGTCAAAGTAGTATCGAGCTCTGCCATAGAGACCATGCTGTGAAAATGCAGCAATGATTGTGTTCCATGAAACAATATCCGGATGAGAAATTTGCCTAAAGGCTAACTCAGCGTTGACAATTTCACCACATTTACTGTACATAGTAACCAACGAATTGCTCACAGACAAATCTGAATCAAAGCCATGCTTAATTACAAGAGCATTCGCCTGTCTTCCTTCGTCAAGTAATGCAAGACTAGCACAGGCAGTAAAAAGTGGAACAAAAGTCAAGTCATCAGGTTGCATACCAGTCCTGACCATTTGTGAAAATAAATTTAGTGCCTCCTCCCCTCTCCCATTCTGGGCGAAACCTACAAACCATGAATCAATTATGAAAATATGAGAAAAGAACAATGACATGCCATATTCCTAGGTTTGTAACAAGTTCGTGTTTTTCTCCCTCATCAAAATACGTTATAAATAGACAAGACTACAGCGATATCAAACAAATGAAAAGAAATAGAAATGAATGAAGTGAAATAGAATAAAATTACTGATCCATTGTTTGAATATTTTCAATAAGATAAAAAGAAGACAAAATAATATGATGTAGAAAAATCCTAATCAACCTCATACCCCCAATGACAATGTAATATGATGTGGAAAAATCCTAATCAACCTCATACCCCCAAGACAAATAAAAAGAAGACAAAGTGGGATATAGATGAAATGGAATGGACTTGTATCTTGTCCAGCTCCTCCATCCACGTCAGCCAAAACTCAACCTATGAATTAATCTAAAGGATTTAAGATCAACAATGCTAATCATTAGATTAATTCAACCATTAAGCATTTGTTTGGATTTACTACAGTTTTATTACTTGCGCTGCAAGGCTATCTGGACTTGAATTTGCTGAAGCTACAACTCCTAGTTTGTGGATTGCTGCTGGGCGTCAGAAAAGATTTGATACTGTTTCCAAACATAGGCTAAGTTTTAGCCAAAGGGAGCCCGGAGGGACTACCCTACACACATTTAGTGTTTAATTCAATTCCACTTGTTTGATTTTAAAATAAATAAATCCAAACAATGGTTCCGTTCCATCCCTTCAATTTGCTTATTTCTAAATAATCCACCTCTGATTTAAATGATCTGTGATGGCCGTAAACTAAAACTTAAGGATCAACATCTCACTTATTTTAGTTTAGCTTTTTCCCTCATCAATTTACTATTAGGCACACACATCAACTTTGGACTCGAGTTTAAAGCACTGAATGAATGAATAAATGAATAAGAATGAAAATTATAAACATTGGGTTACCGGTTATCATTATATTCCAAGAAGCTCGATCCTTGTACGGAATCTGTTGAAACAAGTTCCAAGCCTCTTCAATCTTCCCTTGTTTACAAAACCCAGTAATCATAGAAGTACTAGCAACAACATTTTTCTTGCGCATTCTATCAAACAATTCCCACGCTTCCTCATACAACCCATTCTCAACAAGACCACTAATCATCACCGTCCATGAAACCTCATTCCTATTCGGCATCGCATCAAACAGCGCCCTCGCACGCCTAATCCCACCTTCCTTCTTGGCATACCCATCAATCATGACAGTATACGAAACAACATTCGGACGCGGCATTTCTTCAAACAGCTTCTGCGCTTCCTCCACGCGTCCCATTCTCACAAAACCCGACATCATAGCATTGTACGACGCAGTGTTTTTCTCCGGCATTGCGGTGAAGTAGCTAAACGCGTCGTTGAGGTTATCGTTTTGAACGCATGCGGTTATGATGGAGTTCCATGAAACGACGTTTTTGATTGGCATGGAATGGAAGAGCGATTCGGAATGTTGTAGAAAGCCGTTTTGCCAGTAGGCGGTGAGCATAGAGTTCCATGTGACGATGTCTTTTGGGGAGGTTTTGTCGAACAGTTGGCGTGCAGCGTTGATGTTGCCGGCGCGTGAGAGGGCTGCGATGTTGAGATTGGCGTGATATACATCTTGCTGAGTTGAGAAAAGTTGTCTAGCGAGGAGGAGGAAGGAAGAATGATGGCGCGCGGTGGAGAATGAAAGTGGGCTAGTGTGCATGGAGTATACTACGGGGTCTGTCTGGGCAAGTGGCAAAGCATAAATCCGTTGTTGTCTACAACTACAATTGCACAAGGGGTGGATTGTTTTATGATTTTATTTTTAATTTTAAAAATTTAAGTTTTTCTTTCTTTCTTTGCGGTAAAAGAATGCTGCTATTCGAATCAAAAGAATCTAAAGGATTAGCAAAAGATAACAATGAGTGTTCGCAGACCTGCTCTGCTGTTATTTTTTGTGCAATACAAATCAAGATTTTTAGTGTTCGTCACATACCACGTGTTTTTTTTTTCAAATTTTTATTAAAAAAACATGTTGGATATACTCATTTGCAATCCCTACATTTTAACTAATTGACACACAACGATATTCAAAAGCGGTGAAGCATTTGATATCATAGTTTTTTTTTGAAATTGTTAGGAATTAAAATTCGTATGTGAAAGTATAAGGAAATTGATAAAAGGAATATTTGATATATTGAAAGAAACAACTTTGCTCATATATAGCCTTAAAGATGAGAAACTGAAACAAACAAAAAAAACTACTCATGTTTTCACTCACTACTAGCACTTTCTAATAACATGATAGACTAATTTAAAAGGAAATAACTACTCCTAAAACAAGAAAACCATAAAACTGACTAACAAATACTCCCTTAAACTGAATGTTATATGCAATCAGTTTATATCACTCTCTGAACAAACTCCTAGAGATATGTGTAGCTTCAGGAAAACATTCATCTTGAATGGTTTCGTCATGATATATGCCAATTGTTCTTGTGTGTTACAGTGTATCAGCTCTACAGTTCCAGTCTTTGTCAAATCCCGAAGGAAATGGAAACGAACATCAATATGCTTACAACGGCCATGCATTATTGGATTCTTCGAAAGCTTAATAGCAGAACTACTATCACAACGAATCACAGTGGCTTTGCTTTAATTTTTACACAGTTTTCCCAATACTCTTTTCATCCAAATGGCTTGACATGCACATGAAGTTGTACCTTTAAACTCTACTTTTGTGGTTGATAGACTCATAATTGGTTGTTTCCTCGATGACCAAGAAACATCACCTGAGCTCAACAAGAAAATATAACCTGAAGTACTCTTCCTATCACCCAAGTCCTCTGCATAATCATTGTCAGTGTAAGCGACAAACTCACTATTTTCGTCCTTCTGGTAGAAGATTCCGGACTCAGTTGTTCCTCTTAAGTATCTCAGCACCCTTTTGGCCACTTGTAAATGCAGTTCTAGGATTCTCCATATACCTGCTAATTAGATTCACCACAAACAACATATCAGGTCGAGTAGATGTTAGATACATAAGGCTTCCTATAATTTGTCTATAGTAAGTCTTACCAACCTTTACACCAGACTCATCTTTTGTGAGTTTAACACCTGGAACAATTGGATTGTGCAATGAATTGCTTCTATCCAATCCAAACCTTTGCATCATCTCTAATGCATACTTCTTTTGACATAAGAAAATGCCATATGATCGTTGCATCACTTCAAGACCAAGAAAGTATCTCATTTTACCAAGATTTGTCATGTCAAATTCTCGCTTCATAGAGCTTTTAAATTTTGGAAACATCAGCTCGTCATTTCCGATAAAAATGAGATCATCAACATACAAACTAACAATTAATATTTTACCTTCTTTTTTTGTCTTCACAAATAAGGTATGCTCGTAGTCGCACTTCTCAAAACCTTCCTTCAAAAAATATGTTTCTATACGACTATACCAAGCACGTGGTGCTTGCTTAAGCCCATAAAGAGCCTTTTTCAGTTTATAGACTTTTTGCTCATTACCTTTTTATACATAACCACAAGGCTGGTCCACATACACTATTTCATTCAAATCTCCATGCAAAAATGCTGACTTCACATCTAGTTGATAGATTTCCCATCCTTTTTAAGCTGCAAATGCTACCACCAAACGAATTGTCTCCATGCAAGCCATTGGTGCAAATGCTTCTGTATAGTCTACCCCATACTCTTGTGCATACCCCTTCACTACTAGCCTTGCTTTGTACTTGTCTACTTCTCCATTATCTTTGAATTTTGTCTTGTAAACCCACTTCACTCCAACTTTCTTTGCTCCTTTAGGTAAACCCATCAATTCCCATGTGCCATTTCTTTCAATTGCCTCCATCTTCACATCCTCGGCACCTGTGGTCTTTGATAAGCTCCTTCCCGCCCAAAAGAAGTTGGGAGGCATTTCTGTCAAAGCATAGCCTAGAGAACTTTTATAAATAGTAGTTTTAATTTCATTTTCCATCATCCAACTTAGTCTTATAACACTGAGCCTATACTCACTTGTGTAAAAGCAATAATTCACCACATCGGAGGATTATTGCACCATAGTCTTGATTAGGTTTCAACATTTCTTTTATTTATAATCTTGCCACCATTTTACTTAAAGCATTTACTTTCCAGTTGTACCAAGACTTTACATCCAGTTGATAGATTGCCCAACCTTTTTGAGCTGCAAATGCTACCACCAAACAAATTGTCTCTATGCGAGCCACCGGTGCAAATACTTCTGTATAGTCTACCCCATACTCTTGCGCATACCCCTTCACTACTAGCCTTGATTTGTACTTGTCTACTTCTCTATTATCTTTGAATTTTGTCTTGTAAACCCACTTCACTCCAACTTTATTTGCTCCTTTAGGTAAACCCATCAATTCCCATGTGTCATTTCTTTCGATTGCCTCCATCTCCACGTCCATGGCTTTCCTCCATTTTTCACTTTTAACAGTATCATCAAAGTGAGTAGGATCACCATCACCAACTGTAAATATGGCCAAATTAACATCGACATTTCCTTCTGAAAGACCTTCTCTAGTTTCATAGTCTTCCATCCAAAGTGGTGGCCTTCTAAACCTTTGTTGATTGGGATTAGAAATGTTCTCTTCTACTGTAGAATCAGAGGAGACATTTTCTTCTTCGTCTTCTGTATCAGTATTATGATCAGATTCATGCCCGACTTCATTTTCTTCTTCCACATTAACTTTCACATCCTTATCACCCCAATCTAAGTCACATGAGATGGCTTATTCATACTTCTTATCCCAATCCCATCCTTGATCTTCTTCAAAAACAACATCCTGACTCATTATGATCTTTTGTGAAAATGGATCATAAAGCTTATATGCTTTTGATACTTCACGACCCCCAATAAAACACAACGCAAACTTTTATCATCTAGCTTGGTTCTTTTAGCATCAGGTACGTGAACATAAGAAATGCATCCAAAAACTCTAAAATACTTAACTGAAGGCTTGACCCCGCTCCAAGCTTCTTCTAGTGTCTTATTCCTCACTACTAGCGTTAGACTCCGATTCAAGACATGCACAGACCAGTTTACCACTTCAAGCTAGTAGATTTTGGGCATTTTCTTCTCGGATAGCATGCTCTGAGCCATGTCCATAATGGTTCTATTCTTTTGTTCTGCAACCCTGTTCTGTTGTGGCGCATATGCAGTTGTTAGTTGCCTTCGTATACCATTTTCACAACAAAAATTGGTGAATTCGCGTGATGTAAACTCTCCCCCACGGTCAGTGCGCAAGCCTCTGATAAACGAATTTGCTTCCTTTTCAACATGGATCTTAAAATTTTTGAAAACAAAAGATGCTTCTGATTTTTCTGTTAAGAAATAAATCCATGTTTTTCTACTTAAATCATCAATAAAAGTGATCAGATACCTCTTTTTGCTGTTAGAGATAGGTTTGATTGGTCCACAAATATCAGCATGTATTAGTTGCGGAATTTGTGTTGCCCTCCAAGCGCTCTTATTTGGGAATGAATCTCTTGGCTGCTTCCCTACCAAACAGTCTTTGCACAGCCTGTTTGGTGACTTCAATTTTGGTAAGCCATTTACCATACTCTTCTGCTGTAGCGTATTTAAACCCTTAAAACTCAAGTGTCCATATCTTTAGTGCCAAAGATGTACTAAATCTTCTGTAACAGTGTGAAAGCAAGTAGGTTTTGCAGGTTGCGGTATGGCATGCAACATGAACATTCGATTTGAAGATATTCTGGTTTCCATTATCAAACCATTTTCGGGGTGGAAAACTTTGCATTTTCCATGTTGAAACAGAATACTAATCCCCTTCTCTTGCAATTGCCCAATACTTAGCAAGTTATTCCGTAATTCTGGCACAAGAAAGACTCCAGTAACAATATGTGTTACACCATTTATGTTTAATCTTATGTTACCTGTTCCTGTTACAGCCATGGTGGAATTATTGCCCAACTTGACAGAATCTTTGTAACTCTCGTCAAGATCTGAGAAGTATTCCTTCTTTCCGCACACGTGATTGCTACATCCAGAGTCAAGAAACCAAATTGCTTTTTCATTGGCCTTGTTCATATTTGTGTAGGCCATCAACAACATTTCTTCTTGAGTCTCTACATAGTTTTCCTCCTTCCTTTGGTTCGAACATTCCCATCTAAAATGCTCGAGTTGATGACAATTAAAGCACTCCACTGTGGATTTGTCAAATCTTTGTCTGCCTCTGCCTCGTCCCCGTTATCCAAAACCTCCACGACCTCGACCCCTCTCTACATATTAAGCATATTTATTATATTGATATCCATGAGTAATCTGCAAAGCGTGTTCTTCTTCAACATGAGAACACATGCGTTGTTCATGAACAAGTAGGCTGCTTTGCAATTCATCAATAGTCAAAGTGTATGTATCCTTAGATTCCTCAATGGAACACATGACATAATTGAACTTAGGAATCATGGATCTCAAAAAAAATTCAACTACTGTAACATCTCCCTTGTTTTCACCATTAGCTTTCATCTTGTTTGCTATGGTAAGTGTCCGAACAAAATAATCATTCACGAATTCTCCTTCCTTCATATGGAGAGTTTCAAACTCTTTTCTTAGAGTTTGCAACTGTGCGCGCTTGACTCATGTTGAACCTTCATACTTCTACTTCAAGGAGTCTCATATGTTCTCTGTTGTATCTTTATTAAGAATCGTCTTCA